CAACACTGGGACACCAACACTGGGACACCAACACTGGGACACCAACACTGGGACACCAACACTGGGACACCAAACACTGGGACACCAAACACTGGGACACCAACACTGGGACACCAACACAGGGACACCAACAGAGGACACCAACACTGGGACACCAACAGAGGGACACCAACACTGGGACACCAACAGAGGGACACCAACACTGGGACACCAACACTGGGACACCAACAGAGGACACCAACACTGGGACACAACAGATGACACCAACACTGGGACACCAACACTGGGACACCAACACTGGGACACCAACACTGGGACACCAACACTGGGACACCAACACTGGGACACCAACACTGGGACACCAACACTGGGACACCAACACTGGGACACCAACACTGGGACACCAACACTGGGACACCAACACTGGGACACCAACACTGGGACACCAACACTGGGACACCAACACTGGGACACCAACACTGGGACACCAACACTGGGACACCAACACTGGGACACCAACACTGGGACACCAACACTGGGACACCAACACTGGGACACCAACACTGGGACACCAACACTGGGACACCAACACTGGGACACCAACACTGGGACACCAACACTGGGACACCAACACTGGGACACCAACACTGGGACACCAAACACTGGGACACCAACACTGGGACACCAACACTGGGACACCAACACTGGGACACCAACACTGGGACACCAACACTGGGACACCAAACACTGGGACACCAACACTGGGACACCAACACTGGGACACCAACACTGGGACACCAACACTGGAACACCAAACACTGGGACACCAAACACTGGGACACCAACACTGGGACACCAACACTGGGACACCAACACTGGGACACCAACACTGGGACACCAACACTGGAACACCAAACACTGGGACACCAAACACTGGGACACCAACACTGGGACACCAACACTGGGACACCAAACACTGGGACACCAACACTGGAACACCAACACTGGGACACCAACACTGGGACACCAAACACTGGGACACTAACAATAAGGTCCTTGTAAAGTACAGTGAACCAAGAACAGCGTCGCATAATTTAACTAAAGCCTCATTTTTACGAGATAAAGGTCAGGGATATCAATTTGATATCGTTTCTAGATATCACTGCAAGGATGGTATGAGCCTAACTGCACATAGTAAACCACTGATGCCCTGGGTTGTAGATGGAGTTTACAAACCCAGAGATTGTCCCACAGTAACACATCGGAAGACATAAGTAATCAACCCCACTTCCGGGCTCACCATAGCCCGTGCTACTTGCAACATTTGATATCAGTGGCTGAATCAAATTAACAACATCAACGACAAATACTCCTGCTCATACTGATAACTCAGAGCCATCTACCGGTTACTTTCTTTATTATTAAGTTCATTTGTTCACCCTCTAACAAGATTAATAATTATAAACTTTGATTTGTATTCTCTGTTCAGAGGAAGCTTATTAACGTCAGTGTTTATGGTTAATGTGACTTATTAATGTGACTTATTAATGTGACTTATTAATGTGACTTATTATTGCATCGTTGGCAAATGTACTTATGGTGTGAACATCAAGACCATTGATGTATATGATGGACACAAAGGTACCAAGACAGAACTCTGAGGTACGTGTCCCTCCTCTTGAGACCTTTGGGTAGAATGGAGCCCTCGCTTCTTGGCTGGTCGGTGTGTTTTATAAGACATGGTGTATAGACATGTTGCAGTCACACACACACACACACACACACACACACACACACAATTCCCCTTCCCACACACAGTATTTCTTGTAAGATATTAGACTAGTCTAAAGAAGGTCGTCGATCATTTAGAACATATAAATATTGTTTCCAAGCAGCAATCAACATGGATTCAGAAAATGAAAATCTTGCTTGGCCAACTTATTAAAGTTCTATGGCAAGATGTTAACAATGAAACACTATAGAGAGACAAGCTTTTTAGCAGAAAGCTTTTAACGCTGTTCCTCACAAGCAACTCCTATACCACCTGGAGAAAGAGGCTCGTGTACTGGGAAAAGTACTAAAGAGGGTGAAGGATTACCTGAGGCTCGTGTACTGGGAAAAGTGCTAAAGTGGGTGAAGGATTACCTGAGGCTCGTGTACTGGGAAAAGTGCTAAAGTGGGTGAAGGATTACCTGAGGCTCGTGTACTGGGAAAAGTGCTAAAGTGGGTGAAGGATTACCTGAGGCTCGTGTACTGGGAAAAGTGCTAAAGTGGTGAAGGATTACCTGAGGCTCGTGTACTGGGAAAAGTGCTAAAGTGGGTGAAGGATTACCTGAGGCTCGTGTACTGGGAAAAGTACTAAAGAGGGTGAAGGATTACCTGAGGCTCGTGTACTGGGAAAAGTGCTAAAGTGGGTGAAGGATTACCTGAGGCTCGTGTACTGGGAAAAGTGCTAAAGTAGGTGAAGGATTACCTGAGGCTCGTGTACTGGGAAAAGTGCTAAAGTGGGTGAAGGATTACCTGAGGCTCGTGTACTGGGAAAAGTGCTAAAGTGGGTGAAGGATTACCTGAGGCTCGTGTACTGGGAAAAGTGCTAAGTGGGTGAAGGATTACCTGAGGCTCGTGTACTGGGAAAAGTGCTAAAGTGGGTGAAGGATTACCTGAGGCTCGTGTACTGGGAAAAGTGCTAAAGTGGGTGAAGGATTACCTGAGGCTCGTGTACTGGGAAAAGTGCTAAAGTGGGTGAAGGATTACCTGAGGCTCGTGTACTGGGAAAAGTGCTAAAGTGGGTGAAGGATTACCTGAGGCTCGTGTACTGGAAAAGTGCTAAAGTGGGTGAAGGATTACCTGAGGCTCGTGTACTGGGAAAAGTGCTAAAGTGGGTGAAGGATTACCTGAGGCTCGTGTACTGGGAAAAGTACTAAAGAGGGTGAAGGATTACCTGAGGCTCGTGTACTGGGAAAAGTGCTAAAGTGGGTGAAGGATTACCTGAGGCTCGTGTACTGGGAAAAGTGCTAAAGTAGGTGAAGGATTACCTGAGGCTCGTGTACTGGGAAAAGTACTAAAGTGGGTGAAGGATTACCTGAGGCTCGTGTACTGGGAAAAGTACTAAAGTGGGTGAAGGATTACCTGAGGCTCGTGTACTGGGAAAAGTGCTAAAGTGGGTGAAGGATTACCTGAGGCTCGTGTACTGGGAAAAGTACTAAAGAGGGTGAAGGATTACCTGAGGCTCGTGTACTGGGAAAAGTGCTAAAGTGGGTGAAGGATTACCTGAGGCTCGTGTACTGGGAAAAGTGCTAAAGTAGGTGAAGGATTACCTGAGGCTCGTGTACTGGGAAAAGTGCTAAAGTGGGTGAAGGATTACCTGAGGCTCGTGTACTGGGAAAAGTGCTAAAGTGGGTGAAGGATTACCTGAGGCTCGTGTACTGGGAAAAGTGCTAAAGTAGGTGAAGGATTACCTGAGGCTCGTGTACTGGGAAAAGTACTAAAGTGGGTGAAGGATTACCTATGAGGAAGAAGGCAGAGAGTCATAGTAAGAGGAGAGCTGTCATAATGGAGAGAGGTAATGAGCGGAGTACCTCAAGGGTCTGTACTACGGCCCATCCTGTTCCTGATATATGTAAACGATCTAACAAAGAAAGTACGCTCATTCTTATCCATGTTTGCTGATGATGGTAAGCTAATGAGGTGAATCACAACTGAGAAGGACTGCAAACCATTACAAAATGACCTAGACTGTTTCCGGAGATGGACTGAGAAAAGGCTACTCGATTTTAATCGTGACAAATGCAAGGGTATGAGGATAGGAGTTGGAGCAAGAAGACCTCATTTACAGTACAACTTTCAAGTTTTGAAAAAGAGCAAGACTTAGGAGTGGACATAACTGAAGGTCTATCACCAGAGGCACACATCAGCAGGATAAAGAGGGCAACATATACCAAACTGACAAACGCCCAGTTATCCTTCAACAACTTGGACAAAGATTCCTTCCGAGCGCTGTATACAGCCTATGTGAGACCTATTATTGAGTATGCAGCCCCAGCATGTTACCCCTACTTAATGCAGCATAAAACGTAACTAGAAAGTCCAAAAATGTGCAACAATTGAAATTGAAATAAGTTTATTGAGGTAAAATACACTCAAAGGGATGAGGTAGCTCAAGCTATTCTCACTCCGTTCAGTACATCGTGTTAATACATACATAGACACACATCACAAACAATAAACATATTACCAAACATTCTGAGAGATAAACATATACATTTCCTCCTTTACACAAGTAATGTGCAACAAGGTTTGTTCTTGAGCTATAAAGAAAGACTGAGGGAACTGGACCTCACTATAATGGAGGAAAGAAGGAAAAGGGCAGACATGATAACGACGTACATGATACTAACTGGGATTGACAAAGTATAGATATATAAGTAATGTTCAGATTAAAGAGGAGTAGAGTGAGTGGACGTAATTGGAAACTGGAAACACAGATGAGTCACAGAGATGTCAAAGCATTTTTTCAGTCTGAGAGTGGTAGACAAATGGAAGGTTTTAGAGGAGGAAGTTGAAGCTAGTTCGGAACAAAGATTTAAATGTAAATGTGATAGGAAAATCGAGTGTAAAAGAGTCACCACGTTGAACTAATGATGGTCAAAAGGCAGGGTTCGAGAGCAGATGTTTGACCCTGTAAGCTCATCTAGGTGAGTACACACACACACACACACACACACACACACACACACACACACACACACACACACACACACACACACACACACACACACACACACACACGAGAGAGAGAGAGAGAGAGGAAACAAGGGTGTGAGGGAGTCATTAAGAAGGGTACAGAATCAGACAAGCCGAGCAAAAACCCGAAGCATCGATCAGGGCGGCCGACGGCCAACACCAAGGCTTACATCAGCCCGAATAACCCACCTGGCCGCCTCCTGCGGTACTTGCCACTGTTGCGACGACTTTTCTCCCCCGTCTTGTCTCGGGCGTTGGGGCTGACGATGTGGGCGTGTGACCTCCGGTATCTCTCAACGCCCGTGGACACCACAGTACGCCCATACTCCACGCCCGTTGCCTGCACTGCCCACGCCAGGAGGAAGAGTATGCTGACACACGCCCACCACAAGTTCATCCTTGTTAGAGTGCCCAGGCCTCTGGCATGGTGGTGGGCGGTCGTGAGGTCCCTGGGAGAGTGGGTGGGGCCAGTGGGCGGGGCCAGTGGGCGGGTCCAGTGGGCGGGAAACAAAACTCACCAGTGTCCAGATGAAGAGAACTGCTTAATATTAAACATTCACAGATGTTGTTCATATGTTACTTCACTCTCGAATGTTTCACTAAAAAGATGAATAACATTGAGCGTTGCTCACTTTGTAGAATTACTATTGTACTAATATTGGCGACTTTTTACAACTTTCAGGGGTAAAAAAAAATGATCAAAGCATTGTAATTTTCCTTCTCAATTTCGAATCAATTGCGGAGCACTAATTTCACGGACATAAACACACTTAAATATTGTTGTTAGTAATAACCTTTTTGGCAACACTGAGGAGTGGAACGTGGACCAGCAGCTGGGTGGTGCTGCCACCACCACCAGCTGGGTCGTGCTGCCACCACCAGCAGCTGGGTCGTGCTTCCACCACCACCAGCTGGGTCGTGCTTCCACCACCAGCAGCTGGGTCGTGCTTCCACCACCACCAGCTGGGTCGTGCTGCCACCACCAGCAGCTGGGTCGTGCTTCCACCACCAGCAGCTGGGTCGTGCTTCCACCACCAGCAGCTGGGTCGTGCTTCCACCACCACCAGCTGGGTCGTGCTGCCACCACCAGCAGCTGGGTCGTGCTGCCACCACCAGCAGCTGGGTCGTGCTTCCACCACCAGCAGCTGGGTCGTGCTGCCACCACCAGCAGCTGGGTCGTGCTTCCACCAGCAGCAGCTGGGTCGTGCTTCCACCAGCAGCAGCTGGGTCGTGCTGCCACCACCAGCAGCTGGGTCGTGCTGCCACCAGCAGCAGCTGGGTCGTGCTGCCACCACCAGCAGCTGGTTCGTGCTGCCAACACCAGCAGCTGGGTCGTGCTGCCACCAGCAGCAGCTGGGTCGTGCTGCCACCACCAGCAGCTGGGTCGTGCTGCCACCACCAGCAGCTGGGTCGTGCTGCCACCACCAGCAGCTGGGTCGTACTTCCACCAGCAGCAGCTGGGTCGTGCTGCCACCAGCAGCAGCTGGGTCGTGATGCCACCAGCAGCAGCTGGGTCGTGCTGCCACCAGCAGCAGCTGGGTCGTGCTGCCACCACCAGCAGCTGGGTCGTGCTTCCACCACCAGCAGCTGGGTCGTGCTGCCACCACCAGCAGCTGGGTTGTGCTTCCACCACCAGCAGCTGGGTCGTGTTTCCACCAGCAGCTGGGTCGTGCTTCCACCACCAGCAGCTGGGTCGTACTTCCACCACCAGCAGCTGGGTCGTGCTTCCACCACCAGCAGCTGGGTCGTGTTTCCACCAGCAGCTGGGTCGTACTACCACCACCACCTGGGTCGTACTACCAACACCACCTGGGTCGTACTACCACCACCACCTGGGTCGTACTACCACCACCACCTGGGTCGTACTACCACCACCACCTGGGTCGTACTACCTCCACCACCTGGGTCGTACTACCACCACCACCTGGGCCGTACTACAACCACCAACTGGGTCGTACTACCACCACCACCTGGGTCGTACTACCACCACCACCTGGGCCGTACTACCACCACCACCTGGGTCGTACTACCACCACCACCTGGGCCGTACTACAACCACCAGCTGGGTCGTACTACCACCACCACCTGGGTCGTACTACCACCACCACCTGGGCCGTACTACCACCACCACCTGGGTCGTACTACCACCACCACCTGGCCGTACTACAACCACCAGCTGGGTCGTACTACCCACCACCACCTGGGTCGTACTACCACCACCACCTGGGTCGTACTACCACCACCACCTGGGTCGTACTACCACCACCACCTGGGTCGTACTACCCACCACCACCTGGTCGTACTACGACCATCAGGTGAGCATGAGAGGGAGGGGGG